TTTAAGTATATTTTGTTAGCATTTCTTTGATTTATTTAAACTAAAACTGCTTTTCTTGAAATTAAAAAATATATTAAAAATACCTATTTAATGACTGCAGTAAGCTATCAGCTAAGTACTACTTTATAATACATTCATTCTACTTAGTTTCATGCCTAAAGTCAGACATGTATTCACAGATATGTATATATCAGCTTAACTTGCTATTGAAAGTAGATCATTTAAGAAATTTTGTGAATCAATAAAATGTGGGGTAAAAAAGGAATGGAAAACACCTGTAGACAACAGTGTGTGGAAGGAGAGTGAGAAATGGTAGAGGGTGAGAAATAGGGGAGATATATATATATACATATATATATACATACACACACTATCAGTTTGACATATATATATATATAAAACTAGAAATGACATATATATATATCAAACTAGATTGACACACACACACACACACACACACACACATATATATATATCAAACTAGAAATGGAAAATTATCAATGATAATGTGTATGATTAAGCCATTACGCAGTATATTCTGGATGGGAAATCATTTTGTATGCTGTGTGACAATGCTCAGTGAATCAATGTAAATTAATTAATTAATTAAAATTTTTTAAAATTAAAAAAATAGATGACCAAACCATGTTATAATGGAAACAGGATATTGGCAACCAACTTGAAAATCATCAAGGTGTTGTGCATTGTGACATAGTTTGGCTGATTAACACACTCAGGGAGGAAAACTGTATTCCATTAAGGTCCTTAGTACCTAGAACAATTTGCTTTAAACTTTGAATTCTTAACCTACATATGCACTTCAGAGTTCATGAATTCCTTAAAATTGCAAAGCTTTAAGTACCTGTTGTGCATCTTCCAAAGATTACAAAGAGTTCATCCAAATTTCAAAACAGTACCTGTTCCCCAAATAGATTATGAACTGTGCCTTAAATAATTTCAACACTGTTACTCCATTATATATAAGTACTGTATAGAGTCTGGCATAATTTAGAAGGTCTGAAATGTCCGAGTACTTTATTGTTGCTATTTATCAACTTTATCAAAGTGTTTGCAAATTAGTGGTGGCACTCACATCTCCACATAAGAATATAAGGCCTCAACATGACATCAGGGCTTGGCTTTATTATGTTGTACATAATTTTATCTTCTTTTTGGATCTTGTGTGTGTGAAAATTAGCTCTTCAAAACTGGTTCTCAACTTTTGTGTGTCAGTAGAGGGGTAGAAAAGGTATTTGGGGAGCAGGACAATACACCTCATTTATCAGATATTTTCAAGCTACACACTTTCTCTCATCTGAACCTTCTCTACTCCCATTCCTATTTCAGTTACTATTCATAACTCAAGTTATTTATGTTAATACTTTATATTTGCATATATTTGGATCACTTTGAGTGTACTAACTTAAATTTTGTTTTGGTTAGTTGCCTCTTTACTAAACTTTTTCTTTTCATTAAAGAGCTTTTGATAATAGTGAGGAATCTTCCAGTTCTTTATTGACAAATTTGCAAGAGGCCAACATATTATACCATCAGCCTAGCCACTCCCCAGTGGGGCATGGGTGCAACCTCTTTCCCTCCACTTCTCCATCCTGTCTGGATTTGAGGCACATATTCACATGTACCCAGTACATCTTTTAAGCCACTGTAGCCCGGATTCAGTTGGCCATATGAGATCCAGCTTCCCTTTACTACTAGGCCAACCCAGACAAGTTCTTTCATAGTTCATTTCTTCTAAGAGAGACAAGGAAAGAGAGAGAGAGAGACACCCCCAACAGGGTCTTCACACCACGATCAACCCCTAGCTTCAGCCAGGCCAGATCACAAGCACAAATGCCTGGCATGGACATGGAGACCTGGAACCTTTCCACATGGTCTCAGCATCACAGAGTGTTGGATTATGGCTGTACTGCTGCTGCTGCTGGCCCTGAAAAGTTGCTGGGTTTTTTGTTTGTTTGTCTATTTGTGTGCTTGTTTGTTTGAACTTAACAATTCTACTTCCTATTTCTTTTCCAAAATTCAGAACAACAGCTTCTCCCAAAATAAATATAAATAAAACATGAATGGGTGTATTGTAATACTGTTTTCAGAGTCCATCCCTCTCCCACTCAAAGTTTCTGTGGTCAGGTAGTATTGTTGTCACTCTTGTATGACTCACTTGGGTAGATTGATCAGAACATTTTGTACTGTCTGCCACCATGGTTATTACAGAAATAAGCATGGGGTTAAATTAGAGCCAAAGAGATGTGATTTGAGGGCATTTGCTGAGACCTTCGGAATATATGATATTGAGTCCCTAGATTCAATATATCTGAAGTTAGCTATATTCTGGATCTAGTATTCATGGGGGCAATAAATCCCTTCTTTCAATGCAATCAGTTTGCATTTAATTTTCTGTTATGTGCAATATAAACATATATAGAATAGATGTCCAGGAAGAAATTATAAAATATATGCAAGTGACATTTAAAAACATTAAGTAGGTGTCAGAGAGACAAAATAATGTTAAATGCATGGCCTCTAAAGCCAGCTGCCTGAGTACCAACTCTGATTCTTGCTCAGCAGCTATGAGACTTTGAACAAGTCACTTACCCCTTCGTGCCTCTATGTTATCCTTTGTAAATTGAGGATAGTAACAACATGCACTTTATATGAGTGTTTCAAGGATGAAATAAGTTAGTATCTGTAAGGAACTGTGCCTAGCACCTAACAGGTAACAATATTAGTTATTATTTTATCATTATTATTCACATCTGAAATAAGTGGTGATATCAAAGAATAAGAGAAATGGTTATGTTGCTAAGATTTTTCTGTATACAGAAGCAACTAAACTAAAATGCCTCTTTGTAGTAAAGGACTCAAATAGAAACTTTTCTGAAGAAGATATCTAAATGGCCAATGAGCATTTTGAAAAGACACTTATCACTAATAGTTAGGAAAATACAAATGAAGCCACAATCATATATCACCTCACATTCATCAGTATGTTTACTATAAGACGTAAAAAAAGGAAATAAACGGTCAGGATATGGAGAAATTGGAATCTCTGTGCACTGTTAGTGAAAATGTTATGGTGCAACCAATATGGAAAACAGTATGGCAGCTTCTCAAAAAATAAAAATAGAATTATCTATGGTCCAGAAATTCTACTTCTAGGTATATATCTGAAAGAAGTAAAATTGGGATCTTGAACAGATGTTTACACACCTACATAATAATATGCATAGTAACAGTATTATTCACATAGCTAAAAAGTGGAAGAAACCTCAGTGTCAACCAATGGATGAATGGATAAATAAAATATGGTATTTACACTCAATGGGATCTTAATAAAGATGGAAATTCTGACATGTCCTAGAACATAGATGAGCCTTGAGGACATTATGCTAAGTAAAATATGCCAGTCATGAAAAGACAATTAGTGTATGAATTCACTTATATGAGGGACATAGAGTAGGAAAAGAAAGGAGAACAGTGGTTGCCAGGATTGGGTGTTGGGGGGTAGAAATGGGGAGTTATTGTTTAATAAATAGAGTTTCCATTTTACAAGATGAAAAGCGCTAGAGATGGATTATACAACAACTTAACACCCTGAACTGTACATTTAAAATTTGTTAAGATTGTGACTTTGTGTTATGTGTATTTTAACACATTAAGGATAAACAAAAAATTGGGGACCAGCAGATAGCATAGTGGTTACATCACAGGACTCCCACATGGTCGACCCCAGTTCAAGTCCTGGACCTGTTGGCTTGAAGATCACACTGGGTGCATGTCTGTGTGTGCTCATGATCCTGGAAGGAGAGAGGAGAAGGGATTGTGATGTGGCCATCTCCCCAGGAGTTGATTTCTCACTTTCCCCCTCACTGTCTGTCTCTCCCTTTGGTGAGTGCACGTACTCTAAAGCAAAAAAACTCAAAAAAAAATTAAATTAAAAAGTGTTAAGTACCTCTTTTCTATATATTTGGCTATTCTAGTTACCTCACAGAGGTGGATTCATACACTATTTGTCTTTTTGTGACCAGCTTACTTCATTTAGCATAATGTCATCAAGGTTCATTCATGTTATACCGTGTTAGGACTTTTTAGGACTTCATTGAGTATAAATATCATATTTCATTTATCCATTCATCCATTGATTGACACTTGGGTTACATCCACATTTTAGCCATCTGAATAATAATATTACTATACATATATTAATAATATGTATAATACATATTATGTGGGTGTATAAGTATCTGCTTAAGATCCCAATTTCACTTCTTTCAGAATACCTAAAAGTAGCACAGTACCTGACTGAGCTGGTACTAATATTGAATGAATAAATTAATGATAATATAATAAACCTAATTATAAAGGAAGTTCAGAGTGACATAGTTCAAGGAGTTAAAATTTTTGTGAAGTGAAAGGGAATCAAGCATTACCTGCTATAGAAAAGATTTATGAAGAGGATAAAACAGACTTTATAGTATAATACAAAGCATAGGATATATAGTAGAGGTCCTTCTCTTGATTCATGTATACATCTATTTATATCATTTTGCCAATATTACTGAGCACTTACCATCTACTAGGCACTGTTCTTGCTCATCAATGAACAGGACTGCTCTGCCCTTTAAAGACTTATTTCTAGTAGGGCAGGAAAGGACAGCAATATGCGATGTCTTATCTAGCTAGATATGTGATACTAGGTAAGCCCTATAAGTTTTCTGGGCTTATTTTTTTCATCTGCAAAATGAGGTATGTATGGCAGGGGAATGAAATGGTATTTTACCTTCTTACATTCTAGAAGATTTGAAAAGTACATGTAAATATGGAACAAAGATATAAGAAGCCACTAGGGGGCAAAATGAGCATGGTATAAACATTCTACGGACGTGAAATTCTAGAAACAAAAAGAGTCACCCTCTATGCATCATAAAAAGTATAAGCGAAAGGCAAATGTGTATCATTGTAGGTAGGAAAAAAGTGCTACAGGATAATTATTCAAATGTGCTTTATTCTATGAGTTTATTGATTTAGAGACCAAGTTTTTATGTGAAACAACAGTGTACATGAAACTGTTTAATACTTGTTTAATAATTAAACAGCATCTCTAAATTTGTAGAACAATAGTAAGACCTTATCTACAGAACCAGAAAACACCAACCTACATATTCAATATTGAAGGATCTCTTTACTCACATGTTAGGAAGTAATGCATGTTTGGAATTCCTTCTTGCACATTTTTGGGGGACTTGGGTCCTATGCCCACTTTTTCATTTGTTTTTAATTTTCTCTCCATTTATTGTGTAAATTTAATGTATACAACATGATGTCTTGATATACATATATATAGGGAAATGGCTAACACAACTAAGCAATTTAATATATCCATCATCTCAGTTACCTTTTTGTGCATAAGGAAATAAATCTTTCATAAAGTTCCAGTTGACGGTGATATATTATTGCTTTAGTCCTCATGCTGTGCTTCAGATTTCCCATTTAATTTAAATTAATTTACAATTTAATTTTTTTCTTCCATGAGAGAGAGACTGAAAGGAAGATAAAGAGAGCCCTCCACCCTCAAAAGGGTCTTCACACTGTGATCCATCTTCAGCTTCAGCAAGACCAAGATCATATCTTCCATGTTCAGAGAAGTCTCTAAATATAAATTTAGAATCTGTGAGTTAGCTAACCCCCATGTGGGTTAGCCACTAGGCCATCATCAGGACCCCTAGATTTTCAGATTCATTCATCCTACATAACCGCTACTTTGTACCTTTGATCTACATATTTCAATACTCTTCCACACCTCCATTGACGCCCATCAGTTCCATCCTCTGTTTCCATGTATTCAAGTTGTTGTTGTTGTTTTTATTTCACATATAAAAGAGATCACGAAGTATCTTCCTTTCTGTTCTCTGGCATATTTCACTTAACATATTGTCCTCCGGTTTCATCCATGTTGTCACAAATAACAGAATATATCTTCTTTTTAAAGCAGAATAGTTTACTATGTGTACACACATATATATCTGTAGAAAAATATATATACATACATCACAATTTCTTTATCTAGTCATCCATCAAGTGACATTTATGTTGTTTCCATATTTTGGCCATTGTGAATAATGCTGAAATGAAGTTGGGAGTACAACTATCTCTACTCAGTGCTGATTTCATCTTCTTTGGTTATATACACAGAAGAGGCTTGATGAGTGAAGCATTACTCTTATCACCTTCTCTGATCACAAAAGAATATATGCTATTCTTTTCCCATTTGCATCCTGTTAGGAAATGGTAGTTTTAATATATGTAAAAAATTATTTGCCAATCTTCTCATCAAAAGTTGGTTTTCTAATTTCCATTTCCTTAAACATGAACCAGCTTTGGATTTGTTTCTAGACAAAAGAATGGATCACATGTGATGAGTGACTTCCATGGATGTGATAGAAATGGTGCTAGAGCAAGCCACCAGGTCTGAGACTTGAACCAAGGTCAGCCATGCAGGAGTATAGCTCCATTAGCCACCACATAACCTGCTGGCCTCATCCAGGCACCATACTTTAAGAAAACCTGTGACACATACAGAGGCCACATATAGATGTTCTGGCTGAGAGCTTTAGTTACAATCCTACCCTGCATGCGGCATCAACAGTCAGGTATTGTCAGTGAGTGAGTTGTCAGATGTCCCAGCACCCCATCTTTAAGTATCCTAACTAAAGTTGTGTGGAGCAGAGATGAACAGTCCTGACAAGTCCTATATAAATTATAGATTAGTGAGAAAATATAATGTTACTGTTGTTTAAAGCCAGCAAATTTGGAGGTTTTGGTTTATATTTTTAGTTTTTTTGTCTTGAACAACACAACTAATAACTGGAACAGGGGATAACTACTGTAAGGAATTTGACAGAGGAATTTAAGGAAATAAACTAAGGGGTTAAATTAGTGCTTCTATAGATTCCCATCACATGGATCCACTTACCCATGCCCTGAAAAAAATAAAATAATTCTCAAAATATGCTACGTTTCCATGTTTAATCCCATGTACACTAACACTCAGAATTGTGGATTATGGAAACATAAAAGCTTCTCATTTAGTGGCATTGTTATCACAAAGCGAATTATATTCTTTGGCAAATCACCATAAAAAATCCCCCATGCAGTAGGCCTACAAGTGTGAACATCTTTCTCGCTCATCCCTTTCAGTTCACAAAGAATGGTGAGCTTGGCTTGGAGTGACCTAATCAAGCTGGAGCATTTCTCCAGGCAGAGAGGGAAGCTCACTTGCAGCCAACCTGCAGGGGAAAAGGGAGAACATGGCTTCTTCAAACTCAAAACACCATCAGGCAGACATAGTCTATTGTATATAATGATGGCACAAAGTAGATTCTCAATAATTGTTTGTTATATAATTAAATACCACAGACAACACTGTTGTATATGCTAGGATTGGGATACAAAAGTATAATATAATCTTTATGTTATCCAGAGCTTCTGATGTAATTAGACGGTTATTATGACTATTTACCAAATCTGTGTTTGTCACCTGCTGGCTGAAAGGCACAGAAAAGATACGATGATGAGTTTGATACTAGCCATGTTAGTAAAATTGATAAAATACTTTATCCTCATTACCCTTTATTCACTATGTTTGTGAAAGAAGAATCCTCTGCCTAAATAGGACAAGATGGCTGAACGCCTGGTATATCTGAAACTAGACAGGTGAGAATGGCGGCGATTTATTGATTATACATACTCACAGCCTGTGTGAGGAGGACACTGCACACTATACAGGGTCCTATGAAGGTTACTGACACTCAGAAATAGAGAGGACTAGCAAGAGCTATAGTGACCCTGGTTCCCATGAGCAGATTTTATTGTTTTGTTTTTGAAAAATTTCACCAGCTTGTAGGGAGGAAATATCACTTAGGTTGAAGACTGAATCAGGTACAGCTGGTTTGGCTAATAAGAAAACAGTCATAATAGGAAACTTTTCTCCTGGGTAGGAGCATATGTGGCAAGAGCAGAGGAATTCATAATTAGGTTTTGAAGCCCTCTGAGGGTCAGAAATGTCAAGGCAACATTTGAAGTTTTCTGTCTTAACATATACATCCCTCCACTTTTCTTGGCCAGATCCTCATTTGTAAAGTCAGAATGGGGAACAAATTCTCTCAAGGTTCCTGTTAGCTTTAATTCTCATTATGTAAAGCCAGTTAAAAGAGGGGTGTTTTGCTCCTTTTCCAAGGCATTGCTGTCCTGATTTCTTTGAATATCAGTCTATTTTTGTTAACATTAGAGCTATCTCAGTGAATTCAGGCTAATCTCTTAGGGCCCTCTCAAAATTTTAATGTGAATTAAAGATGTTTAATTTCCAGGGGCTGGGAAAGGGTATGTGTTGGAACACTTAACACAGAAATTAATTTTAGAATTAAGAGGAAGAATTTTCAGAGAAAAATCCAAGAAGAAATTATATTTATAAACCTAAATTCCAATAATCTCTTAAATGATGCTAATCTTTCCAAAATAAAATCTTAGCAAGAGTGTGGAAGTGTTTATACTCTCTTCTAGAGGTAAAAACTTCATTATTTAAGAAGCTAGAAAATTTACTATTTAAATTGAATTGTGCAAAATTAGGACTTCAGGGGAGAAGTGAAAAAATATCTTGACTGCTTAATGTAATATCAAAAGGTGGATCAGTAGGCAGTATGGAGGTTAAAGTGGCTAGATCCCACCTGGCCACCTGTGAAATTTGAGTCCCAGACCCAGTAGCTTGAAATCACACTAGGTGCATGTACATACATTCTTAAAATCCTAAGAGTATGACCATCTTCCCTGGGGAATGATTTCTCACTTTCCTTCTCTCTGTGGAGAGCATAAATGCACTATAGCAAAAAACAAAAACAAAAACAAAAAAAACAAAAAAAAAACGTATTTCAGACCTGGCATCTTAAAAATCATGCTGGGCACATGTGCATGTGTGCCCAAGATCCCAAGAAGAGAATGGAGGAAAAGAGATTGTAGTGTGGGGGGGGAGGAATGACTTCTCACTCTCTCTGTCTCTCTGGCAAGTACGTGTACCCCATAGCAAAAAAAAAATTTTTTTTTGAGAGGTTTTTGCTATAGGGCACGTGCACTCGCCAGACAGAGAGACAGAAAGCGAGAAATCACCCCTCAGGGGGGATGGCCACGCCGCAATCCCTTCTCCTCCATTCTCCTCTCGGGATCTTGGGCACGCACACACACGCGTCCGGCGTGAGTTTAAGCCACAGGGTCTGGGACTCGAACTGCGGTCGACTACATGGCAGTCCAGCGACATAGCCATTATGCCAACTGCTGGTCCCAATAGCAAAAATTTTTAAAATAGTAATAGTAAAAATTTTTAAATAACAGAATGTCACATCTAAGTACATGAAAAGCATTATAGTTATGTTATACTAATTTTCCTTTCATCAAAGAAAATTTTAAAATAAAATGCTTATTTTTAAAGTTTCACTTTAGATTTTTAAAAATTAGTATATGTGCACAAACCAATAAAAATATTATTGTTTAAGGACTGGTACTGTTAAGATATTAACATTTCCTGTTATGAGACTTTTACTCATTTAGAATTTAATAGATTTTCATTTTGCTTTAGAAACTCAGAAGAAAAAACTTATTACAGCATTTGTCCTTCCACAAGCAGCGGACTAACTTTAAACTCAATGCAAAGCTATTACTTTGGACCAACTCTGAGACTAGATTTCTGAAAGGTTGCAGTTGAAGGACTCCATTGCTATTCATTTGATTCAAAAGGTTTACCACTCAGTAGTGACAACAAATTGACATTGACATGAATATCCAATTAAAAAGAAGAAAAATCAGAATACTGTTCTCTTGAACAGGTATTGAAAAAAGCTCCCTCTATGTTTCAGCAAAGGAATACAGTAAGATCATAAGGTTATATTATGGATTCAATTGTGTTGTCTCAAAATATATGTTGAAGCCCTTATCCCTAAAATGTCATAATGTTACCTTATTTGGAAATAGGGCACCATGTAAAAATGAAGGCAGAGACTGGAGTGATACACTATAAGCCAAGAAATGCCAAAGATCTCTAGCATGCCACCATAATTTAGGGAAGAAGCATGGAACAAACTCTCCCTCACAGCTCTCAGAAGGAACCAACCCTACCAACACCTGAATCTTGCACTTCTACCCTCTACAACTGTAAGACAGTAAATTTCTGTTGCCTGAGTCACCCATTTGGTCATACTTTGTTACAGCAGCCCTGGGAAACTAATAAATACTGAATAATTTTTTTCAAACTATCTGTTTAATCTTATTATTGCCCTTCCTCAACAGTAGTGAAACTTCCTCACTGATCATTTCTGTAATGAAAGCATTAATATGCCAGCATCACAGTTACTATGGTATAAGTATTGACATTACTAATGGCCCAGTTCAAGTTATCTAATGCTTTTTTAAAATATTATCTTTCTTTCTAACTTATTGCTGGCACTGAAATTCTTATTCCAAATTACGATATCCATCTACCTAACATTATAAATGTTTTTATTTTAAGGAGTTTTTTAATCTCTATAAAGGTTAAATGTAAAAGCCTTTTTTTTTTTTTTTAACAAGAACATGCAGTGCTTCCAACATTGAAGTCAAAGTCCCAAGAATAATTATTAAATCAGGATTATGTCTGCCTTTTAAAAACCAGCTCTTTCCAAATGCATCCAGTGTCATTATAGGCAAATTTGTTTTCTCAAAACAATTTATAGTTCAAAGTAAAATAACTGAAATAACAGCAGCAGAAAATAAGAGCAGTAGAATTTTTGTTGTTGTTTGTTTTGTTTTAGGTTTTGCCACAGGGCATGTGCACTCACCAGAGAAAGACAGAGAGAGGGAAAGTGAGAAATCATTCCTGAGGCAGGGCGG